ACCTTCATGGTTCTTGTGTTGTGAAGGTTTAAAAGTTGGGCGGTCACATCGCAAAACAAAGAAGCCTCTTCCCCCTACTCCTGAGGAGGACGAGGTAAGGGCCATCAAACGTGGGTGTTGAAGGAGAGGTCAGCCTGGGAAAAGCCAAAACAGCGTGGTTCAGAGGTTTGCAGGCTGGGAATTGGCTCTGGAGAGGGATGGAAGGAGCTTGAATCAGGGGATGGAGCCCAAAGACCCAGAGGAAAGTCAAATGATCGCACCCCCAGGGGAGCTAGGGAGAGAGAGAAACCCTGATATAGGGTGGGGGAGTCACGGGTTAAACCCAAAGGTACAGAGAAAAAACTTACCTTTGGTGAAGACGCCTCCAAGGAGGAATTGTTGCAATAAAAGCAGTGGGGTGCATCGATCTCCTGGTGGAGTTATGTGGGAGCTGAGACAAACGCTGTGCTGACCCGGCCAGCCTCAGCCTGCAAACAGCGTGCCTGCCTGCCTCACCCTGTGCCCTGCTCTCCCTTTCTCTGGGGAAGATGGTGATGAAGCCCCTGCCTCCCGAGCCAGCCCCCGTCACGGCGGGCGAGATGAAGAAGGTGGTGGCCCTGTACGACTACCTGCCGATGAACGCGCAGGACCTGCAGCTGCAGAAGGGCGAGGAGTACTTCATCCTGGAGGAGAGCCACCTGCCCTGGTGGAAAGCCCGTGACAAGAACGGGTAAGGGCTCCAGCACCTTGTGTCCCATCCCAGCGTCGCCCCTGGGGTGGCCCCAGGGACCCCCACCCGGCACTGGGGATCCCAGACTGGTCCCAGGCTCTCAGACTGGTTGGTTCTTCGCTCCACGGGCTCAGACAGGCTGCACCAGCTGGCACGTGAGGAGGGGGAGGGAGACACAGCGGGGTGTGCTGGTACCAGCCATCCCCAAGCATGAACACCGCAGGGTTCGTGCTGAGGTTTTTGAGCGTTTCTGCTCAGATTTCTGGGGCTGGAACCTCCTCCATCGGTGCATGACCATCCCCTTTTCCTCCTGCAGGAGGGAAGGATACATCCCCAGCAACTACGTCACCGAAACCAGCAATTCCCTGGAGATCTTTGAGTGAGTAGGGGAAGGCACGGGGCCGTGGCAAGTTGTGCTGGGTCAGGGCCTTTCTACGTTCAGTTCTGGGCCAGGATCAGCCGGGCTGGGGACAGCGGTGGCTGGGGCACGTCCCTGACGGCTGTGTCCCTGCCCCAGGTGGTACTCCAAGAACATCACCCGGAGCCAAGCGGAGCAGCTGCTGAAGCAGGAGGTAAGTGTTGGCTCGCGGGGCTGTCACACACGTGGCCTCCGTGGGCTGCTCTCAGCCCTTCCACTGCAGCTGACAAGGACAGAGCTGGGGAGCTCTGGCCCAGAATGACTTGGGGGGCACGCCAGGAGGTGTTCCCCGGGCAGGAGCTGGAAGTAGGACTCCTTTAACTCATTGCACCACCTCCAGACACGCTGTGGTTGTCCCTCTATTTTAAGTCCCACCTCCTGCAATCACCCCCTTACAAATACCCGTCCCCTCTCTCTCTTTTAGGGTAAGGAAGGGGGCTTCATTGTCCGAGACTCTACCAGCAAGACAGGGAAATACACCGTGTCCGTCTACGCCAAGTCCTCTGTGTAAGTGGATGTCGGAATAGCTCGTTCCTGCCTGGGAGGGCCTCTCCGGGCACCTCTCGCCCTCTGCCTGCCCTCCAACCCCGCACGCTGTCTCCCCAGAGACCTCCAGGGCATGATCCGCCACTACGTCGTGTGCTGCACCCCCCAGAATCAGTACTACCTGGCCGAAAAGCACCTCTTCAACACCATCCCGGAGCTCATCACGTACCATCAGCACAACTCCGCCGGTGAGCGCCCGTGGGCACGGGCAGAGCTGGCAGCTGGGAGCAACCTTGTTCCTTTTTATTGATCTGGACAAAAGCAAAACATGAGCATATCCCTCGTAAGCCACCCACCGGCACGGGTTCCCAGCTGATAGCACCTCTCAGGCAGGGCAGAAGGAGAGCAGGGTGCAGCCCAGGGAAAGCTGGAACAAGAATCTTCCAAGCTGTGACAGTCTCAGAGAGAGAACAGGGCCAGAGCGAGGCCACCAGTGCTTTTACAGACACCTTTCTGTGTTTCAGGGCTCATATCCAGGCTGAAGCATCCCGTGTCTCAGCACCGGAAAAGTGCCCCTTCCACAGCTGGCCTGGGCTACGGTAAGCTGCCCCGGGCTACCTCCTGCTTCCCTGCCCGTGGGGCCCGAGGGGCACCCAGCACGGGCTCCCTTCCTTCTGTAACCTGCCAGGGCTGGGATCCCGGCTGTCCCCTCGCAGCAGGGCCCGCAGCATCCCCAGGGATCCCTTCCCTGCTCCCACTGGCCCTCTGGGGTCAGTACCGGGAGACGTGCAGGCTGCTTTGCTCCCCATCCCCTGGAGGAACACGTCCTGCATGTTAGGGATTTTCTCTGATGTTTTTTTCAGGCATGCTTGTGATTTTTCAGGGTGATTTTTTGGGGGGCAGCACGCGTCTGTGAGCTCCTCCTGGACCAGTTAGATGAGATGACCGGGAACGTGCTGCGGGGAGGGCACCTGCACCCCCCTCACCCTCACGCTCTGTCCTAGGGTCGTGGGAGATTGACCCCAAGGACCTGACCTTCCTGAAGGAACTGGGGACGGGGCAGTTTGGCGTGGTGAAGTACGGGAAGTGGAGAGGCCAGTACGACGTGGCCATCAAGATGATCAGGGAGGGCTCCATGTCAGAGGACGAGTTTATCGACGAAGCCAAAGTCATGATGTAAGTGTGAGCAGCCCCCAGGGGGGCGCAGGATGTGTCCTGTCAGGGTGCCTGGTTTGGAGGGACAGCACCGGGCAGCCTCGCACACCGAAATGCACCCACACTGCGAGAGATTTCTCCTTTTGTGCTCGTTTGCCACTGAGCTTTCCACCGGCAGCTGGGGCAGGAGCACTTTGCCAAGCTCTCCCTCTCCTTACCCAGCGATGCTTTTGCGGCTTGGCCCTGCGGATGCTCAGGAGTGCCCTTCTTGCCCCCAACACAGGAACCTGTCTCATGAGAAGCTGGTGCAGCTCTACGGGGTGTGCACGAAGCAGCGCCCCATCTTCATCATCACCGAGTACATGGCCAACGGCTGCCTCCTGAACTTCCTGAGGGAAACGCGGCGGCGCTTCCAGCCTGCCGAGCTGCTGGAGATGTGCAAAGACGTCTGTGAGGCTATGGAGTACCTGGAGTCCAAGCAGTTCCTGCACCGAGACCTGGTAGGGATGTGGCTGAAGGACACGTCTCCAGCTCAGTGGGAGCCACAGCACGTTCTAGACAGGGCAGGACTGGGCAGCTTTCCAGGGGACTGGAAATGCATTTTTAGCTAGGGCAGGGCTTTGCATCAGACAGCATCCCTGGCTCAGATGTGGAGAGGGGGCACTTCAACCTCATGAAAAGCTGAGCCTGGTTTGTCAAGCCTCTGGCTGGCACTGCCAGATTGCGGTGCTGCTCTGTGGGGTGTTGGAGGGAGTCCTGGTGCTGTGCCAGCACTGCTCAGCAGTAGACAAAACACTGGTGTGATAGCAGTGCTGTTCTCGCTCCCAGTGCAGAGCACAGCACTGTTTGGGCCAGTGCAGGGAAAGTTACCTCCATCCCAGCCAGACCCAGCACAGCAGTGACTGCCTCCATCTCTCCACCCACAGGCTGCTCGCAACTGTTTGGTGAATGACCAAGGGATTGTGAAAGTCTCAGATTTTGGCCTTTCCAGGTCCGGTAGCCATGTCTGTGTCACTTTCCTGTCTCAATTCTACATCTCCAGTCTCCTCTGCACTTTAGTCTTTCTCCCCCACCATTCTCCAGCTCTGCTTTTCCTCTGCTTTCTCCCAGCTTTCATCTACCTGGCTCAACCTTCCGCCTCCCCCCTTTCCAACATCCCTTTCTTACTTCCCTCATCCCCGTTCCCCTTCTTGCCACTTCTTTCCCCCGCCTCTAATCTCCTGGCTGCAGCCACATCCCACATCCCAGTTCTGCCTCTTGTGATGCTGTGTCACTGGAGCCCTTCCCCAGCCTCGACTAACACGTGCTTGTTTGCGAAGGGACACTTTCGCCTGCTGAAACCCACGCAGAGCACAAACTCTGAAAGCCGTAGATTCCTTTTGGGGTCGATTGGTTGCATGCAGACAAGTGAAACTGGGGAATCAGGACGGCTGCCCTGACCCGTTTGTCTGCTGCAGATACGTTCTAGACGATGAGTACACGAGCTCCATGGGGACAAAGTTCCCAGTTCGGTGGTCCCCTCCCGAAGTGCTTCTGTACAGCAAGTTCAGCAGCAAGTCCGACGTCTGGGCTTTTGGTAAGAGCGCAGCACTAATGACTCAGGGGCGGCCCAAAACCAGCGAGCTCCTCCACAAACCAACATCAGGCACAGATGTGGCCGTGCCCTGAGGCGTCCCCCGTTTGCCACCACAGGCGTGCTGATGTGGGAGGTGTACTCTCTGGGGAAGATGCCCTACGAGCGGTTCAACAACAGCGAGACGACGGAGCACGTCATCCAGGGCCTGCGCCTCTACCGCCCGCAGCAGGCGTCGGAGCGGGTCTACGCCATCATGTACAGCTGCTGGCACGAGGTGAGGTTACCTCCATGCCCCCTCACCCCGCAGCTCCCGGGGGCGGCGGGGCAGCACCCCACAGCTGCCGTGTCGCCCCACAGAAAGCCGAGGAGCGCCCCACGTTCACCGCGCTGCTGGCCGGCATCCTGGACATCACAGATGAGGAGCCGTGAGCGCCGGGCGGGCTGGCCCCGCTCCCCCACCACCATCATCACCATCACCACGACCACCACGACGCCTTCCATCACCCCACAGCCCCCTCAGTGCACAATAAACGGCGGCAGCGCCGCGAAGCCCCCCTCAGCTCCTCCTCCCCGCCTCCCTCCCTGCCGCCCCGCCATAAGATGGCGGCGGGGCCTGCGCAGTGCTCGCGGAAGGGGCCGGGGCTGGGGGAGGAAGGGGAGGAAAGGAAGGGAAGGGGCGGGCGGCGGCACCACGCGAAGGTCGCGGCATGGAGGCGCCGGGAGGCGGCGGGCTGGGGGGGGCCGACCCGCAGCTGCAGCGCTTCATCGAGGTGGAGACGCAGAAGCAGCGCTTCCAGCAGCTGGTGCACCAAATGACCGAGCTGTGCTGGGTACGGCGCGGGGAGGAGGAGGAGGGTGAAGGGGGTGAAGGAGGTGAAGGGGGTGAAGGAGATGAAGGAGGTGAAGGGGGTGAAGGGGGTGAAGGGGGATGGGGGGGGTCCCGTCGAGCACGGGGGGTGCGGGGGGGATGCCCCCGGGGTCGCGGTGCCCCCCGAGAACCAAGGGCGGCCCCCGCTCCGCTCCGCTCTGCAGGAGAAGTGCATGGACAAGCCGGGGCCGAAGCTGGACAGCCGGGCCGAGACGTGCTTCGTCAACTGCGTGGAGCGCTTCATCGACACCAGCCAGTTCATCCTCAACCGGCTGGAGCAGACGCAGAAGTCCAAGTCGGCCTTCTCGGAGAGCCTGTCCGACTGAGCGCCGCCCGCCGCCCCCCGTGCGGCTCCACGGTGCGAGCCGGCCATCCCCAACGAGCCCAGGTCACCTCTGGGGGGTTAGGAGATCGTCTTGGGAAAGGTGCAGCCAGATGAGAGCCCGTCACAGGTACGCACGCTGCTCCTCCGCACGGTGTCGTGCTGCTCCCGTCCCCGGCCGCCGGGAAGGATCCTCGCACCGGGACGCGGATGCAGCGCACGAGGTCCGGGCGGTGGGGACGCCTAGAAGGAGGGGTGGCGATGCTCACCCCAGGGCTGCTCCCAGCGCTGAGGGGAACCTTACCGCAGAGCGAGGCGAGCCTGCGACCGCTGCCTTAAACGGTGCTGCACCCGCGTTGGTGGCACAGGACTCGGCTTCCTCGCTAGGTGCTAACGAGCCTCGCGCTTCCCATGGCCGTGCGCTGCGACTGGAAGGAGAGCAGCAGGACTGCACCAGCACGGACACCCCCAGCCCGGAGAGCTTCCTGGGTATAGCCAATACCCCGGGCAGCAACACTACTGGAAAACATTTCAAGGCTTCTGCAGGGTAAAGTCCTTCATGCGGCCGAGTGGCAAAGTTTCAAATTGCAGCACAGCTCTCTCAAAACTGACTTGCTCCGTTCACTGCTTTCCCCTAGACGATGTAATAAATGTTAACTGGGTCAATTTTTAATATGAGGTTCTCCTTTGTTCAGACCGCTGGGAAATGAAAATCTGGCCGCTTTGTTCGTTCCCAGTGATTCTATTTATTGCAAAATCAGAAGGGAAGGGGGAGTAGTTATCTTCTGACTAGACAGCCTGCTGTGAATTCTGATTTGTAGCTCAGTGAATTTGGTTCCATGAATCAAACCTCATGTTTGAGGCCTTTGTTCCTCTTCCCCAAACGGGAATGGCACCTACTTTCCTGAACGGGACTAGTTTCTTCAGAGAGACTAAAATTGCAGAATAAATGTAGCCAGCTACTTTATAACCAGCTGCACCCTTATCTGTGATCACTGGAGGGAGGCCTGTGGCCATGTCTTCTGGACTTTTGCCCTTAGGAAACGGTGTGGAGCTTTTAACTGGAAAAACAACAAACGGCTACTAATCCACCCCCTGAAACACAGTGTAGCATTTCAGCAATAGGGCATGGCTCTGGGAAGCACGGAGTGACCCACCTTATGAACCTGTGGTGGCTTGGAGCCCTCTAGAGAAACCTGGTGAATTGGTTCTGCACACAACAATGCTGTGGGAGGTTGGACGGGGCATGTGGGGTGCCTAACACGGATGTCTTGGAGCCAGCAGCCTTCCTGGAAATAAGTTCAGGACATGTGAAATAGAGCTATGTGTATACAAACCTGTGTAAGCGAGGGCGCAGCTATCTAGCTATCTTTCAGAAGTTTACCTCAATAGCTAAGGACTGTTAGGTCACTCCTGTTCTCACCACGAGCCATTGCCCCTCCTGTCCCTGCCTTGCATTTCTCTTGGGCACCCACACTGTGCTTGTATTGCTGCAATCCTTCGTACCTCTCAGCGCTGGCCCAGCTCTCAGTACAAACACACCAATAGCAGCTTGGTAACAAATAATCTGTTTTTAATACTGTAAGCAGGTGCTTCATCGACCTGCACAACAGACATTGCACAAAGAGGTTGGTCCCTCTGTAAGCGCCACAGCAGCACATGGCAGCACCATTGAAGTTTTCCAGTTTTGGCTGTATTCTGTTCTTGGATGTGAATCTGTAAATAAATTCTAGGAGAGTGAGCAGAACGAGTACTTTTACGGAAGAATTTTTGAATTAGTACTCTGGCTACATCACCTTTAGAGAGAAGACAGCTGTCTGGCCCTATGTAATCTTAGCACCATGTTAGATTACTTTGTAACTGTTAATTTTCTAAGTATTCTTTAAAAAAAATGCTCCGAGGCCTCCCCTAGCATGTGGCCTTTGCATTCAGTAAGGGTCAGCACTGTGTCAGTGCCGCAGACCTCTGCACAATCAAAGCCTGTGCCCTGACCAGGGCAGATTGATTCTTCATATAAAAGAGCAGGTAAGAGGCACTAGATCCTGACAGTGGGGCTGTTCCCAGAGCTTGTGTCTGTGGCTGCAGGAGGCTGCTGTCCCCGTCAGCCTCCCAGCAGTGAGAAGTCACTGATCATGTGCCCCAGGCAGGTAGAAGGTCACTGCTGACTCCCACAAGCACAATAACTAGCAGCATCTGATGCAGCAAGTTCACCCTTGCCCGGTGGAGCTGCTCGCTGGTGGGAGCACAAAGCCAGCACTTCGGAGGCTTCCTCACACGCTTTCACCTTCCTCCTCTTCCTCTTCTGCACTCTGAGAGTCTTTGTCCTCGGAGGGCAGAAGAGGCCGGTGCTGGCAGGACTGATGCCTGTCTGCGCTCCTCCACGACGTGCGCACGTCTGCCCTGCCTTGCTGCAGGAAGAGGGGCAGGAGGTCAGGGGTGAAGGGCACGTCCCTGAAGGCGTGCAGGAGGAAGATGCCGGACACGATGGTGAGGAAGCCGCTGATGGTGCCGATGATGTTGTCTAGCACCATGTGCTGCCACTCCTTGAAGAGGATGGCAGAACAAGTCATGACCGCTGTGGTGAACAGCACGTAGTAAATAGGCGTGACCACGGACGTGTTGAAGATGTCCAGGGCTTTGTTCAGGTAGTTGATCTGGACGCTGATGCAGATCACCAGGCACACCAGGAGTACCCAGCCCAGTGGTTCTTTCAGGACGGGCTTCCCGGCAAACAGTTCTTTCAGGGCAATCCCCAAGCCTTTGACACAGGATACAGAAAGCGAGCCGATGGCGGAGCAGACCAAGACATAAACCAGGACGTTGCTCCGTCCGTAACGGGGTCCAGCCACAAAGATAAGCAGAAGGGAGCTCACCAGGACACACACAGCAAACACAATAAATCCTTTGGAGAAAGAAGAATTAAGGGCTCTGTCAGAATGGAGAACAGTAGCACCAGTGACAGACATAACTAAACAGCAAGTAGGGACGGAGGACAGGCAGGCAACTGCCCTGTCGGTCCCTCTTTTTAGCTGTAGGGACCTGGGCTGGGAAGCAGAGGGGGTCTCCAGCCTGAGAAAAGCTGCCGACGCGAGCAGTTCTCTACAGTGCTGATCAGCACTGCCCCACAAGTCTGCCTGTCAGAAGCATACAGATGTCTGTGGCACAACCAGGGTCTAAAGTATTGGAGGTGGGGCCAGATACCCACAAAGAAGAGGGGGCAGAGCTCTGCAGGAGGGCAGCAGAAAGGTTGGGAAGCACTAACTGAACTCAGCAGGTTGTGGTGGGATAAGGAAGAAAGAACTGCTTCAGAGTTCAGTCCTATCCAAGCTGTATCCTACCTTCTACTGCCATTTCCAAGCCTGAAATTGACAGAGCCCCTTTTATTTAAGTACCTGGATCTTTCAGCTTCTCTGCCATTGACTCCAGGCTGGAAACCTCTTCTTCCTGGGGAGCGTGGATTACCATCACCGTGGAGCCCAGAATACTTAGGAGGCAGCCAATCTTGCCATGAACATTCAGCTGCTCATTCAGGAAGGTGGAAGAGAGAACTGCACTGGAAAATAATAATAAATATATATATATATATATCATTTAGGCCAAGATATGGAGTATCTGAGGGATGGGACAGAGGAAAGCAGAGCAACTGCTTCCACCATTTAGGGTGAAAGATAAGGTATATTTCTGAGGCCGCTTACCTAACAAGGACACTTAGAGCACCCAGCGGAGTTACCAGCGTTGCAGGGGCAAAGGCATAGGCGGCAAAATTTGCTGCTTCTCCAACTCCCACTGCAAGAGAAACTCTGACAGGTAAGCATCAAAGCGAGGAGCAATTCAGCACAACACTAGCTTGAGTGCAGGGAGATGAGAGCCTTGATCACCACCTAAGTGTCCCATGTTTCTCTGAGGTATGTTGTGCAACCAGGAGAGGACAGTGTCAGCAAGAAGAAGCAGAAGCCTTTCCTTCTTGGAATGAGAAGGCTTGTGGTTACACGTGGTTATCCTTAGTCCTACGTGGCTATCTAGTTAAGCAGCAACAACATAAAAATATTTATGTTTTCTTAAAGCCAAGAGAAGTTTAGACATATTTCTAAGTTAATATTTTCTCCTAGAACAGGCTTTACAGCTTTTTACAGGGTAAATTGAGTACAATTACTTACTAATGTCACATTTGAAAAGTGTACAGTAGAACCTCTGAAAGTGCTGTACGCCCTCCCTGCTGGACACGGCGTTATCTGCCTGTGGTGTCCGGGCAGGCCATTTCAGAAGTGCTTAACCCGACCCAGTCAGACCAGTTCCTCAATCCCTACATGGCAGAGGAGCCTGGCGATGCTCGAAACTTCAGAATATTGCAGAGTTGTGATTAAATCCAGCCGTTAAACAACAACCATCACCATAATAAAGCGTGAAAGCAACTGGAAACAACGACAAACACATCCTGAAGCACCCTGCTGCAGTTGGGGAGCAGCTACATGTACTTACTGCACAGCAGCCCTGCCCACCACAGCCACTCTCGCAGGTACGCGTGTCCTCCTTGCCCTGGGGGAGAAAGTAATGGGAAAATTCAGGTGAAACCACATAAAAAGGCTCGGTAATGCTGCCAGAAATGCCTCTGAGAAGCGGGTGGGAGCTGCCTGGGTCCTGCTGGCCCTGTTGCAAGCTGGCCTGCCCCAGACGTGGCATGACAGCAGGAGCAGGTTCGTGTACCAAAGCCTTTATCCCTGCTTCTTGGCAGCTCCAGGACACACGCGAGCAGGCACAGAAACACCGCTTTTTACCGCTTTTTGCCACTTTTTGGCTGGGAGAAATTCCACTTAGAGCCAAAAAGCACACCAGGGATAAAACACGCCCTGCTCTCACCCCTCGGCCCAGAACCGACCGAAACCATCCCGGGTTTGCCTCGGACGACCCCAAACCGAACGGGCCGGGCCCGGCGCCCCCCGAGGGCTCCCCCCGGGTCTCCCCCGGTTCCCCCCGGTGCTCCCCCCGCTCCCTGCCGCCGGTACCTGCCCTGGCTTGGCCGCGGCGGCCCAGGCGGAGCAGCCCCTTCTTCTTCAGCACGAAGCTGCCTCCGATGAAGGCGCTGGAGGCCAGGGCGAGCCCCAGCCCCAGGTAGAAGCCGGGCCGGCCGCCCGCCGCCTCCCCCCCCCCCATGGCGGCCCGGCAGCGGGCGGAACGCAGCGGCGGGGCCGCGGGGAGCGGGGAGCCGGCGGCGGCTGCACCGGGCCGGCCCCTTCCGTACGGCCCCGGGCTGGGCAGCGAGGATGAGCAAGAGCAAGGATGACGCCCCCCACGAGCTGGAGAGCCAGTTCGTGCTCAGGCTGCCGCCGGTGGGGGCTCGGGGGTCGGGAGAAGGGGTTTGGGGGGGCCGGTGGGGGGAGCAGGAGGGGTGGCTGCCACCCTGTGTAGTCCCATTCCCTTCAGGAGTGCTCCGTGCAGGGTGCTCAGGGGGCGGGTTGCAGGTTGAGAGGGGTTTTCGCAGTGGGTTTTCCACCCCGGGGTGATATTTGGGGTGTGAAGCTGGGGGAGGCCTGTTGTGAGCGTGTCCCCCCTCCCCAGGAGTACGCCTCCACCGTGCGCAGAGCGGTGCAGTCCGGGAGCGTCAACCTGAAGGACAGGCTGACCATCGAGCTGCACGGTGAGCGTGTACCCCTAAAACCCCGCTGATCGTCCACAGGACTCGCGTGTGGCCTGCTTTGGCTGTTTGGCAGCAGCCGGGCAGGCTCCTCTGCAGCACTGACCTGCCCCATCTCTTCCCGCAGCGGATGGGCGCCATGGGATCGTCCGCGTTGACCGGGTGCCGCTGGCAGCCAAGCTGGTGGATCTGCCCTGCATCATCGAAAGCTTAAAAACCATCGATAAGAAGACCTTCTATAAGACAGCAGATATCTGCCAGGTATGGGCTGTTCTTCTTGCCTGCCCCAGCAGCTCCTTTGCTCGCCCCCCTCTCCAGGAAAACCCTCGTACGCTTTGGCAGCCTGGCACCTGGTATAACGTGGCCAATTTCTGTATTGTGATATCGGCAGCTTAAATTTCCCTACCTCTGCTTGGTGGTTGGAAATCCCTCTTTTGAAGCATAGAATTTGATGTGTGTTTAGATACAAACTGAGCTGGGTGTCAAACATCACATTTCTGATACCCTGTGCCTGTGAATCCCTCTGGCTAACTGCATGCAGTAGGTGGTCACTGTCCATTTACCAGAAAAGCTTTCACAGCCTCTTGTTCTTGCATTGCAATAAGCAACCTTTGTGACTATGTGGGGGTTTCAGATGCTCGTTTGCACCGTGGATGGTGATCTCTACCCCCCTTTGGAAGAGCAAACTGTGAGCACTGACCCCAAGGCAAACAAGAAAAAAGACAAGGACAGAGAGAAGAAATTCATCTGGAACCATGGCAGTGAGTAGAGGCTCTGCCAGTCCCCTCCATCCCACCACCCCAGTGTCCCCACAGCTGTGCAGGGCACTCACCGCTGCCGTGTCCTGGCTGTGTTGTTGCTCTGCTTTTAGTGCTCTCTGTGTTCCTGGAGGGAACTTCTCCCCCTTGGCAGGTTGGGTTTGGCAGACCCAGCTCCCCCATTAGGCCATCTGCCTGACACATGCAATCTGTTTCCTCTGTCACAGTTACTCTTCCCCTGAAAAATGTACGAAAGAGACGATTCCGGAAGACAGCTAAGAAGAAGGTGAGTTGTTTCACCCTCACGCTGTGGAGATGCAGGAACAAAGGGATCAGAAGGCAGGGACATTAGAGCTGTAACTATCAGTCCTGAAAACAGAGTATCTTAACAAAGCTTTACACGTTTCCTTGCCAGAGGTGGGGGAGAAGGGAGGCTAGTAGCTTTAAACATTTCCATGAGTGCTTCTTCCATGTTTTTCAAAATGTCCCTGAGGTGGGAACGTGATCTATACTGAGAACTGCTGGACTCTGCTCTTGTGGTTGCTTTGTTGTAGCGCATCTCTTCCTGCTCACAGAGACGAAAGGGTCGTGTGGAAATGAGACCACTCGTTCCTGCTTTCCCAGCTGAAATCTCTCTCTGCATGGCCCGCTCACATCCCCAACAAGCAACACTACAAATAGAATAACTGTTATTTCAGCTGGGGGAGTGACAACAGATGGAGCTCAGAGGCTCTGTCTCTGTGGAAATGCTTAAGCCAGGAAAGGTGTTGGGGAGATGCAGCACCGTGAGGCGGGGAAGATCTGTTCTTCTCTGCTTTGCAGTTTCTGAGAACACGGTGGAGTGATATTTTGCATGACATTTGGGAGACAAATTATTTCAGACGGTCTCATAGCCCACAGGAGAGATTAGATGTCACTGCCTTAAGATCCATGGCTAATTTAAAAGTGAAAAATGAAACCTCCTTTTGCGTGAGATGGGAAAGATTTCAATTGACCATCCATCAGTGAATGACACCTTGAGAGCTTTCAGTACACAGAAAGTAAGTCCTATTGCATGAGCACTATTGATGGGTGCCAGAGTGGTAGAAAAGCGAGAGCATACAAACCACCAGGGAGCTCTGTGCAGAAAAAGATGGATCGCTTTCTGGAGGTGCATAAATTACTTTTTGGGCGGAGCATGAGCAAAGACCAAGCAGAAAGAATAAGAGAAGAGATGCTTGAGATAGGGCTCTATGCAGAGGTTGAGGATGGGAGCTCACCCGCACAAGTCATCTAACAGGTTGTCTGTTCTCTTTCCCCTCTCCGTCCCAGTACATTGAGTCTCCCGATGTGGAGAAAGAGGTGAAGCGTCTCCTGAGCACAGATGCTGAAGCTGTCAGTGTCCGTATCCTTTTAAGAGGAAAAAAATAAAGCTCAAATTGGGAATGAGGCAGTATGCATGATCTGGGGGCTGTGGAGAGGAGAGGTGAGCTCAGCTGCACGTGGGGGTGTGAGAGGTTGGGAGATAAGCACGTGAGAGACACTAAAGTTTTAGAGCTTTATCTTTGCCTTCTTCAAAGCTTATTGTTTCTTCATGGTGAACAGGAATGTAAGTAACAGTGAAGGGCTGCTCTTCAAAAAAGGGGTCTGGGGTGGTTTGTCGTTGATATCCATACCTGCAAGGCTGTACTTATTAGAGGGGGCAGTGATCTCCTGCAGTTTTTACCTTTCTGTCGTTGTACTGCACCTTTCATGCTCCTCTTTTTCCCTTGACTCATCTGTTCCTACTGTCAGGCTGGGAAGTCATTGCTGAAGATGAAACAAAAGAAGTAGACAACCATGGTTCACTCACGAGCCTGGACATCTCCTCCCCAGGGATGTCGGGACATAAGCAAGGCCACGGATCCTCGGGTACGGTGGGGAAGGTTTTTTCCTTCTTTCTAGCTCCTGAGTAATCAGGTGGGCCTGTTCTCTGCGGGGTAAGCCCTAACCAGAGATTCCCCAAATGGAGGCTGAACAGCGTTGGCTTGGGTGTAAATAGGGGCCAGTGTGTCACAGTGCTGAAACAGGTTACCTGTTTGCCATAGCAAAAGATCCCAGCTGCAAAGAAGACACTGCACATGCTGCAGCAAGTTGGGGTGGCAGTGCCTGAAGGAGAGAGGGCAGTGTTGAGACAGGCACCCTGTATTCACAGCTCCCTCCCTAGGTGGGCACAGGGTGCTGGGTGGTTCATCACATGTGGTTTTCCTCTTCCCTTTGCACCCTTCAGAACATGACGAGCTGCGGGAGATATTTAATGACATCAGCAGCAGCAGTGAGGATGAAGATGAGCGGGATCATCACGATGATGAAGACCTGAACATTATGGACACCGAGGAGGACTTGGAGAGGCAGCTGCAGGACAAGCTGAATGAGTCTGATGGGCAGCAGCAGGAGAACGAGGGGTCCAACCAGATAGGTGAATTGGGTGGCAGAATGCTGCAAAATCGCAGGGGTAAAAACCTCTGCTGCTGCTGTAGGTCTCAGCTCACTCTCTCTTCCAGTCATGGGGATCCAGAAACAGATCGACAACCTGAAGAGTAAACTCCAGGAGACCCAGGACAGGAGGAAGCGCCAGGAAGATCTTATCATGAAAGTAGAGAATCTAGCCCTCAAGGTGAGAGCTCCTCTAGTCTTGTGCTTAGAACTGGCTTGCCATTAGATCCAGCAGATTCAGCTGCTGCCCTGGAAAATCCACGTCTTTGCATGCTGGGTTAAAAATAAATTTGGTGTGACCATACTCTCCAGCATTTCCCTGTGGAGGTGAAACTGCAGGAGATAAGAGTCAGTGCGGTTCAGAGTTTGCTGCACCATTTGACATACTGTACTGGCAGCTATTAATCTGAGAATGTACTGGTAATTGTTGTCTGGTGTGTTTGTCTCTGCAGACCCGACTCCAAGCTGTGCTGGATGAATTCAAGCAGCAGGAAGAGCGAGAGAAGCAGCAGGTGAGTAAGCTCCCACAGTGGAGGACAAAGGACTGGGGCACGAGGCTTAGTTGTTAAAGACAGTTCTAGGGCTGGCCTCTGACAAAGTTCTGAATATTGTACCAGTGCCACCTGCTTCAAAGCCCAGTGCTACAGGTCAGGTGTGAGCTGTACCTCCTCCCTGTTGGGGGTAAAACGTGACATGAAAAACCACTGGCACCCACATATAAGAAGGGTAGTGGCTATGGGTTCTTGGCAGATTTTCCTGGGCAGCTCTGTGGAGTTTCAGCCAGGTACCAGGGCAGGAAGTTCCCGCTCCCAGATTCCCTCTGTTGCTTCACAGTGAGGGCAGTGCTCAGTTCTGCCCCAGAGGTGGCTGCAAGGCAGCTGGCTGTCAATCTAGCTCTTGAAAGCAGGCCCATATTGCCCTGGCACAGCTCCCTGCGGTGTGTAGGCAAAGCAGCCACCAGTGTAGGTGGAAGATCCGCAGCAACTCAGAAGTGCTTGGGCTTGAAATGCAGTCCCAGCTGTGCCTTACTGTGACACCTTACTCCCTCTTCCCAGATGACGTCTCTGCAGGAGCAGCTGGAGTCCCTCATGGAGAAGTGAGAAGCGGGCCCAGCCTCAGCAGCAGGGTCTTTGTGCATACGAGCAGGGCTGAAGTGTTCATCCCCACGCTGACGTTTGAGAAAAGAATTAGACTACGCCTGTGAGAGCAATGAAAACACTGGGATTTACTGTAAATATTTGGGACCACGCTCCCTGAGGGAATTGGTTCTCCCTGGGCCAGCTCTCTGCATCTCATTGAGTCTTGGACTTGATGGGCTGTGGCCTGGTGGGAACTTGTCCCTGTGTTTGGGAAATGCTTGTGTCTGCAAACCAGGCTCAATAAAGTACCCTCTTCTGTTTCCTCCATGTACTGCTCTGTGTATGTCCTCCATGTTCTATTTCCAACCCTTTTCTGTTCCTCCACGTTCTCCAGGGGACAGGGTAGTGCTGCCTCTTGTCAACTCATGCCAGTGTAACTGGGCTCCTTCTGCTGAAATGCTCCTGGCATGGCTGGGTCAAAGGGATACTGCGTGAGAAGGGGACCCCGCACGCTCTCAGGCTGCGGAAGGAACGAGGCTCTCCTGATTAGGGAGCTTCTTTAATTCCTCACAGGCTAGGCAGGCAAATCCCAGATTAACCTGGCAGGGTGGGAAGAGGATTAGAAAGGCAGTTCCAGTCAGCGACTGGCAGAACGCAACAGAAAGGCATCACGGGCTTCAGCAGGGGTGTGCCACAGGGGGAACCTGTCTCAGAACCTGAGGAGCAGAAGAAAGGGAAAGGGCTTCCAAGTGCTGCCACGGCTTGGGGGCACCTGGCATGGAAGGCAAAAGGTGAGCAGCAGCCCTGGGAGATGATATGTGTGTCCATATAGTCCAGAGAGGTAGATGTCCTGAGGACAACACCGAGCTGAGGAAAGGCTGGAGTACGTGCTTGTGTATGAGTGCATGACCCGCTCCTGAGGGCCGGCAGGAGCAGCCATGGAGGAAACGTACCTGCTGAACGTGGAAGGGGTCAAAAAGAAGATCCTGCACGGAGGCCAAGGGGAGCTGCCGAAATTCCAGGATGGGAGCAAGGTAAATTGTGGTGGTAGTTACCCCAGAACCCCGAGAGAGAGGGGAACGGGTCTGACACCTCCCTCCTTGCCCGTTACCTGAGGATTAGATTCTCTGCTCGTGAGCCGTGCTCCAGGCTACAGGGAGATCCCATCCCCAGCAGATCCCTCGTGAGGTGGGTGCAGGTGGGGCTGCTTCGGACACAGGCAGCCACATTGCCTGCTTCATTCATCCGACGTCAATGCTGTTCCCTGCCTCTTCCCTCTGCTCTTCAAGGCACAGTGGAGCTCAGCAGCTGTGCTGGGTTGCTGGAAATCCTCCTCCCTTTCCTGACGTGTCAAACATGATTGGAGGTGCCAATGGGGAGCACCGTGGGGTTTCTGAGGTCCCCAGACCACAGCTATGGACAGATCGGTGTGGGTACCACGAGGCCCTCACATGGGAGTGCTCTCTGTCCTGGGCTATAAAGGGGTTTTCAAAGAGAGCAGCCAGATATAGCAGCGATGGGCGTTAAGACGCTCCGCCATCTGCTTTCTGTCTAAGACGAACTGGCAGGAGGCACAGTCTCCCTGCTGCAGATGGAGAGCTGCCAACCCAGCCCGCACCTTGCTGGGAGCGGGCTCATCCCCATGTCCTGGCCCTGTGGCAAAGGGGGCTTGGGGTTGGCGAGGGGACTGAGGGCTCCGACCACACGTTCCTGCCCTGGACACTGCTCTTTCTCTGGGGCAGATCACCTTCCACTTCCAGACGCTGAAGGACAACTTCGAGAGGACGGTGATCGATGACAGCCGGGAGGCCGGCATCCCCATGGAGATCATCGTGGGCAAGATGTTCAAGATGGAGATCTGGGAGACGCTGCTCAGCTCCATGAGGGCCGGGGAGGTGGCGGAGTTCTGGTGCGACGCCATCGTGAGTGAGGGGCTTTGCAGGCCCCACATGCAAGTGCAGGGGTACAGGATGAGCTGCTGGCTGTCCCCTTCATGGTGTCACACAGCCGTGGCACCCCGGGGGCTGCCCCAGAGGAGGGGGTGCAGGCTGGCCCCACATGGCTGAGCGGGGCGCTCCCCTTGCAGCACACCGGCATGTACGCCCTGGTGTCCAAGGGCATGCGGAGGATCGCAGAGGGCCGGGACCCCCTGGAAGGGCAGAAGCACCGCTGCGGCATGGGCAACATGTTCGACTACCACAGCACGGGCTACGACGACCTGGACGAGCTGCAGCGGACGCCACAGCCCCTCATCTTCATCATGGAGCTGTTCCGGGTAAGAGGGGACCATGGGGATGGCTGTCGGCCCAGGGAGGGCCGGGGCAGCCGGCTCAGGACCCGCTGCCCACGCAGGTGGAGGAGCCCTCGGCATACAAGCGCGACACCTGGGCCATGAGCAAGGAGGAGAAGCTGGCTGCCGTGCCCGTGCTGCACAGCGAGGGCAACCGCCTCGTGCTCCGCAAGGAGTTTCGGCAGGCCGCGGAGAAATACCAGGAGGCCGTCATCTGCCTCAGGAACCTGCAGGCTAAGGTGAGCGGGGCCCGGCCACCTCCTGCCGTCCCTGCTGGGGTTCCTCCCATGGGCGCTGGGTGCTCTGAAGGGGCGGCCACAGCCATGATCCCCCCGCTCTGTGGGGCAGGAGAAGCCGTGGGAGGAGGGCTGGCTGAAGCTGGAGAGCCTGGTCACGCCGCTGGTGCTCAACTACTGCCAGTGCCAGCTGGAGCTGGGCGAGTACTACGAGGTGCTGGAGCACACGACAGAGCTCCTCCAGAAGCACAAAGGTACCGTGCCCTGCCTCCACAGTGCTGCTCGTCCCACGTCCCTGTGTCACCGTCACCCGGATCCCCCTGCCCACCCGTGTCCCAGCTGCCCCTGCCCATGGCATTGCCCACATCCTTGGTTTCCCCCTGCCCACAATGACACCTTCACCCCGTGTCCCCTGGTCCCCCATCCCCCAGCGGCACCCACCCCATGTCCCTCGAGTCCCTTGCCCACCGCAGCACCACATACCCAGCCCCCTGTACCTGATGGTACCCACTGGGCTCCGGCTGCAGCTGCAGCACCCCGGTGGGGGCTGTCCTCTCCCACAGACAACGCCAAGGCGTATTTCAAGCGGGCCAAGGCCCACGCTGCCGTGTGGAACGAGCGGGAGGCGCGGGAGGACTTCCTGCGCGTGGCCCACCTCGACCCCGCCATGGCAGCCGCCGTGAAGAAGGAGCTGAAGCAGCTGGGGGAGAGGATGAGGAAGAAGCACGTGGAGGATCGCAAGCGCTACCAGGGGCTCTTCCAGCAGCCCCAGGGGCCCAGGGCTGGCAAAGGGGCTGCGGAGGGCAGCGGGGGGCAGGAGGGGGAAGGGGAGAGGCAGCAGGGGGAGGTTGGGGTCCTGGAGACAGGGGAAGGGGAGCAGGGCACAGGAGTGGGGCCATCAGGGGCTGATAAAGGAGAGCAAGGGAACCATGGGGATGGGCATGAAGAAGAAGCACCAGAAGGAGACATGGCCCCGGGGGAGCCTGTAGAGGTGAGGGATGGAATGGGGCAGGGAGGGGAAGAAAACCTGGGCACCTGCAGGGCAGAGCCAGGGAGCTGTGGGGCAGGGAGGGGGACAGGAGAGGAAGACAAGGAGACAGCGGAGGAGGAAGAGGAGGAGAAGGAAGGCAAGGAGACAGTGGAAGAGGAGGAGGAGGTGGTGGTGGAACAGGAAGAAGGGGAGAAAGAGGCAGTGGAAGAGAAGGTGGTGGGGGTGGAGGAGGATGAAGGGGAGAAAGGGACAGTAGAAGAGGTGGTGGTGGTAGAGGAGGAGAAAGAAAGGGAGAAAGAGACAATGGAAAAGAAGGTAGTTGTGGTGGAGGAGGAAGAGAAAGAGGTGGTTGTGGTGGAGGAAGAAGAAGGGGAGAAAGGGACAGTGGCAGGGAAAGAAGAAGGGGAGAATGAGACAATGGAGGAGGAAGAAGAAAAAGTAGAAGAGGAGGAGGAAGAAGAGGAGGAAGAAGTGGAAGAGGAAGAGAACCCAGCAGCAGAGCTGGAAAAGCTCTCTGTGGGGCATCAGGGGGCAGCAGAGGAAGCAGGGCTGGTACAAGGGCTGGAGCAGGGAGCTGGGGAGGCAGAACAAAGTGGTGCAGGGAGCATGGCTGGGGACAAGCCAAGCAGAGCTTCAGAGCTGGGGCCCACATTTCTGGACCAGGGAACATCCCAGGAGGAGCAGGGACAGGGGAGCTGTGGGGGGCACCGAGCAGGCAGAGGCGGCTCCCCCCCAGCCATCACTGCTGGGGAAGTGCTTTATGCTGGGCCCTTGGAGGCAGACCAGGAGCTGGCAGGGGGGGCAGAAGTGCCTCCCTGCCCCACACCAGCTGGGGAAGGGGCTGGGGCACCCCTGGGGCAGTGCAGGGAGAGCAGGGAGCTCAGGGCCACCACACTGGGGCACGGGCAGCCCTGAGCAGGGCTGGATGCGGAACAGGGTGCAGGGCTGCCTGTGTGGGGGCACAGCCTGGTGGGCAGAGGGGCTGCAGTGCCCTCAGAACAAGCCCCAGGGCCCCGGCTCCCAGCAGCTGGGGCCTGGGCAGTGACACGGGAACGATGCTGTCCTCGCCCTGCTGCCACCAGGCCGGGCAGCCCCGCTGTGCAGTGCTCCTGCTGCCTCCCCTGCCTCGCCTCACCGGCTCCAGCGGCTCCCAGCCGGGCCACGCTGAGCTCTGCTGGCTGAGAAATAAAAAGCTCTTCCCTGGCACCATGTGCTGGATCCGTTCCTGGACGTGCCTGGCATCCCTGATCGCAGCTTGCAGCTCCTGCCCTGCCCTGGAGCCCACAGCACCGGGATGGGGACAGGGTGGTCACCCTGCCCTTGGGACGGGGAGGCACAGGGGCTGGATTTCCCCTTTCAGGTGTCACCGCTCTGGGCTGAGAGCTGCCCCAGCACTCCCTGCCACAGCCCAGCCCTGCACACATCGGTTTTTCACTGCCTGCCAGGGCTGGGCCCTCGCTGCAGCACAGACACAGGGAGCCATGGGCAGCAGGTGTGATGGAGCACCACCGAGAGGGGCTGCAACCTGAAAAAGGGGAGGGAGAGGCCTGCCTGCGGGGCATCCTGCTGCCATCCTCTCCTCTCCTGGGCTGCAGGAGCTCCCTGACAAGGCAGAGGGCCTGTCCCTGCACAGCCAGCCTCCTAGCTGCCACACAGACCTGAGCAGACCTTGCTGGAAGAGGATGAATGCAGAGGACGGTCAGGGCATGCAGCTGCACCCAGGGCAACACCACGGGGAATGTCCTCGTCCCCACAGCAAGAGGTGGCAGCAACCAGCCGAAGGATGGCCAACAGGAAAAGAGCACGGAAAGAAGAGACCAGCGCACCCACGGGGGTCCCAGTATAAATACCAATTTATTCTCTTTCCAGAGCAGAGGTGGAGAGAAGCAGCCAGGGCAGCAGCACCGCAGTACATGGTTACCAGAGCATCAGCCAGCCCGCTCCCCTCCCGGCCACCTCCCAGCACAGCCCCAGCCTGCCTGGGCACACAGCTCAGCCACTGCCACTCCCCACAGCGAGGACCTGCACCAATTTGCCCCAATCCTGCCTTTTTCTTCCTAATCTCATGCAGTCACCGTGCTCCTGCAGTGCTTACCCACTCAGGACAGCGTCCCCTCCCTAATGCCACCACCACCGCCACCAGGATGGCAAGGATGGCACCCCACACACCGGCACGGGGCCCTGGCACCAAGCACATTGAGCACTCCGTGATACGGGCACCACTGCCATCGTGGCAAACATCTCCCTGGTCCCAGCCTCCCCAAAGAGCTCACCAGCACACAGCCAACAGCCCTGTCCCTGCAGCTCGGGACACACAGACACAGCCTTCCCTGCACCCTGCCGTGCCCAGCGGTGTGGGCATCTCCTCTCTCCGCCGCCCCGGAGCAGCAGCGGGGCAGTGCCAGCCCTTTTTGTGCCCCAGGGCACCCACAGCACCTGACTCCGCAGCTTTCTCGACGTAACGCAGCCTGAGACAGCCAGCCCGAGGGAGCCTGAGGGACCCGGAGCCACCGCCACCAGCCCTGCTCCAGGGCAGCGCGGGGAAGGATCCCGCAGGAGAGGGAGCCGGGCTGGGCTGGAAGGGAAGTGCAACTACACTTCGTGTTAGGGTTTAATGGCGTGAGTCCGTGAGAGTATTTCAGTACAGAATATATATATAATATATAGAAATATATGCAAATTAAACGATAAGGCTCTGTTATAAAGATCCTCTCAGGATAAGGCTACCAGCTGGGCTGAAGCTCTGGTGTGGACTCGCCCCGACCCCACCAACCTGGCAGTCTCTCCCCCCGGCAGCGCGTGCCCAGCCGGCAGCAGCATCCAAACCATAAGGCGGGCAGCTGGGCGCTGTCAGAAGGAGTTCCTTTACACCCCAGGAGGCCTTTTGGTGGCTGCAGAAACATTTCAGTGCCCTGGAGGACCCTGGGCAGAACTGGAGAGGAGCGGGATGCTGAGCTCTGCGCCCCATGGGTGCCAGGGGACACACGCAGCTTCCACCACTTCAGCTCTTTCTTCCGAGCCTTTCTGTGCAGTCCAATGAGTCCAAGCCTGGATGCTGCAGCTGAGCAACCCAGCCGGCCCCCGGGGAGCCCACAGCCCCGCTCCCACCTGGCCAATGTTCCCCTGAGATCTCCTGGAGCTGGCAAGCGTCCTGCCTGAGCGAGGGAGCCTGCCGCGGCACGGGGAGCACGGCGGGGAGAGGAGGAGGAGGGGAAGCAGCCAGGCAGCTGGTTAGGAAAAGCCTCTGGCTCACGGGAGGTGTTAGATAAGGGAGGTCATACCTGGAAGAGAGACGGAGAGGTCAGCAGAACAGCGCCTGGGGCCAGCTGGTTAGAAGGGGACTGCTCAGGGGTGGCAGAAAGCGGGCGAGGGGCTGGGTGGGAGAGGGCCAGAGCCTGGGGTAGAGCTAGCACCAGGTGACAGCGCCCTGGGTGCACACATGGGTGAGGGATGGCGCTGAGCACACTTGTCACAGAGCATCCCCGGTCACCATCCATGTGGGATGAGCCATCCACAAGCAGCCAGGAGAGCTCACACCACTGCTGCTGCTCTGCCGGGTAAGCGGGGCCTCCACCTCCCCGGAGATGGGCAGAGGGGGCTCACGGCGGTGGCTGCAGCCTTGCTGCCATCAGTCTGTCTTCGCAGCAGGGAGCTCATCCAGGACTGAGCTGCTCTGTCCTCTGCGCAGCTCTGGCCGCCTGTCCTTGCAGGTAGGAGAGCTCCTCCTCATCCTCACCAGTGCCTGCAGCCGCCGCGCTCCTGGCCGTGGGTGCCGGGGGGGATCAGCCATCGCGGGGAGGGAGGGATCGGGGCAGGGCTCCGCCAGGGAAACCTCATCTGAGGGAGCAGTAGGAGGCCAGAGAGGGGGATTTCGCTCGAGTACCTCGAGAGCTGGGGAAGGCGCTCCGCAGCTTCTCCATGATGTCCTCCAGGCACACGCTGACCTCTTGCGTCTTGGCCTCCACCTCATCTGCAGCGGGCACAGGGCTGGGGTGAGTGGGGCGTGCACCCGGCTAAACCGGGGGCCGGGGGGACAGGCGGCCTCCCAGAGCTGCCATCCCGGAGCTCAGCCCCCATCCGACCCTCCCTCACCTGCAGTTTCGGTGTCGGGGGTGTCGTGCTCCTTCTCCTTTGCTTGGCTGCCTTCAGACTGGTGCGGGGATGAAGCCAGGGAAGATGCTGCTGAGCCGTTGCCATCTGACTCTGCCGGCGGCTGGAGAGAGAGGGGGGCTTGTCGCGGTCCTCTGTCCTTGTCCTGCACCCTCTGGCCACCCCTTCCCGCCCCCCTCCCTTGTTATTTGCTCCGTACCTGCAGCAGCAGCTCTCTGAGCCGGTGCAGCTGGGACTCCAGCTGCTTGTTGTGGTCCTCCAGGATCTGCATGCGGGTCTCCAGGCGGCTCTTGTGCTGCCGGAGGATGCGCGCTTCCGCCAGGAGCTCCTCATTGCGGGGGTCTGGCACCAGCTCGGGGGAGCCTGTAGCCAAGCTCGGGGACTCCACGGCCTCGTCGTGCTGCCATTTCAAACGCCTCAGCTCTCCCTGCAGGATCCTGCGGGACAGCCTGGGTCAGCACCACCGTCTCCTTTCTGGAGACCGCCCGGTGGCTGACTCAGAGCCCCCACTTTCAGAGCTGCCCACCTGTTTTCATCCTCCAGGTGCGCCAGGATGCGCTCCAGCTCCCCCTTGTCGTCCATGGGCAGGCTTCCTGGGACCTGCTGGCTGCCCGCGGGCTCTCGGTCGGTGATGGGGCTGGAGTGGCGCAGCAGGTACTGGTCCTCGTCCCTGTTGCAGCAGGTGGAGGAAACACAGCAGGGAGGAACGTCAGGATGGGGACTGCTGGGTCCTTGGGGCTGGAGGGAGGTGGTTTTGTGGGGGAGTTCCCCACAGCTGCTCCAGGTCGTGGAGCTCAGAGGTGGCTCCAGCATCCCAGGTAGCTGGGGGTGCCCGGGAGCCTCAGGCTCCAAGGGCTGGGAGGGAGAGCAGGGATGCCCTGGGTAGGTGGGGAGGGAGCCACAGGAACCTGGCTGCAGAGAAGCAGGGGAAGGAGGCAGAACTCACAGGCTGTCATCAGGGGGACAAGCTGTCACTGAAGAAGGAACAGTTCTGGTTTTCCATCTCTGCAAGCCTGGAGGAAAGAGAGCTGGCTTGAGACACAAGAGGCACCCTGAGACGTTCAGAGGCACCCTGAATGTCTGCTCAGCGCACCCAAAATGCAGCAGCCCTTTAAGACCTCTCTGCAAGACCCCGTGGCAGCCACACAGCGTGCTGGGAAGTGCCTGTCCCCAGACCCCTCTCCCCACAGCCCCCGGCAGTGCCCGGTGCCGCTACCTGCTGGCAAAGTGCTCGATCCGGGAGTGGGTGTCAGCGTGCGGCAGCATCGGGGAGGAGGCTGGGCTGCAAGAAACGCACACTGGTCAGCGAGAATTGTGGTCCTCACCCAAAACCAGGGCTTGGAGGGGCTGCCCTGCCCGCCCCAGGCTGGCAGCGAGGCTGAAATCTGCTCCCCCAAAGACTCGGTGCTGTCAGCCCTGAGCAAGCTGCCTCCAAGCAGCATCCCCGGGGGTGCTGCTTCCTCGGGCAGGGTCGGGGCACTCACGTCTCGGAGAAGTCAGCCTCCAGCACGGACTGGACGGGCAGGTAGCCCCTCTGCGGGTGCTTGCTGAAATACTGCTTGGAGCGAAACTTGTTCTTCAGCGTGGTGGCAAAGTCCCGCATGTTCTCACTGGAGGTGGTCTGCAGAGAGAGAGAGAACCATTGCCCTGGTGGTGGGCAGAGTGGGGGATCACAGGGTGGCCTCCTGGGACCTGTGAAGCTCCCTTCAGGCCGGGCACAAGCCCTCCATCAGCAGAGACAAGTGGGGGAGCGAGGGGGGCACGCGGCTGCTCCAGCAGCACGAGCCAGGCTGGGCATGCTATGGATGCCACATCCTGCTGACCACGAGCCCCAGAACAGCAGGGACACCGACAGCCCCCAGCAGGGACACCGACAGCCCCCAGCACACAGAGGGGAACAAACACACGCAAAGAAGCCACCCTGGGGCAGCCCCAGCACCGCAAGGCCACTGCCCTCGACAGCCAAGTGCTTTTTTGGCCCCGTACCGGGGTGTAGTACTCCATGATGGGGTAGTGCAGCTTGTTGCCCTTGCTGGCTCGCCCGGTGAGGAAGCAGGTCTGGCAGATATCCACGTTGAACTGCTTCAGGCTCCGATACCTGCGGAGAGCGGGAGGCCAGAGGGAGAAGGGAGAGTTGGCAGAGCTGCTGTGTCTCGGAGCGCAGGGGAAGGAGAGGTTTGTGTGGCTCTCGCGCCCCGCTGACCCCACGGTGCTGGCGGCTGAAGTCCCCGCATCCCCTACCTGAAGCCCTTGATGGGGCACTGCCGGCAGACGGAGCACTTGGTCTGGTGCTTCACCTGCTCGGCCATGGTGACGCGGTGCAGCACGGCCAGCCACACCATGGACTGCGGCTCCAGGTTGGCCCACTCCAGGAACTGGGACGCCTCGATGGCAGACTTGCCGTGGCTCTGGGACAGGGAGGGACAGGAGGAGAGGCTCAGAGCAGGACCCCACCGCCTCGGGACGCTTGTTCTTCGCTGCAGACATGGCCACGGAGGGGTCACCGCGGTACTCACGAATCGGAAGCAGCTGCGGATGCTGGGCTCCACGTTGCTGCCCCCGAAGGCTGCCACCTCCCCGAGCTGCCGCGGGACCTGGATGGCCTCGTGGAGCAGGACGCCCAGGTGCCGCTGGTCACACAGGCCCCCGGCATTCGCCACTTGGCTGAAGAGGTCTGCGGTGGGATGGACAGGGAGACAGCCCCTCAGACACACGGCTGGTGCCTGCACGGGGGGCAGCTTAAACCAGGGGGAAAACACTGAGCTGAGGTTAAATAACCATCACCGGCATCCTTCCAGCTCCCTAAAGCAGCAGTTTAGAGCCTTCCCGAGCCAGAGGTTATGGTGACAGCACTCTTATTTAATCCCTGGGTGATCAGCACCCCCGCCCCCAGCACCCTGTGGCTTAAAACACAGCAAAAGGGGCTTCCTTTAATTTGTCTGACCCTGACTGCCCCGCCACACACCCTCAGGGCTTTCCTGGAGAAGCACCGAGCAGCTGCTGCCCCTTTGCCTTCACCACCCCGCCCCTGGCAGTGCCATGCAAGCAGGACCCCCGCAGCAGCAGTCACTGCCAAAATGCCTTCTAATTTAGGCGGCGTGGGCTGGGGGAGGGAGGGAGGGGTGGCGATGCGAGCAGATTAGTCACCACACGAAAGCTGCTTCTCCAATCCTGCCGGGCAAGGAGGGCGAAGCTGGGAAGTGAAAACACTCCCCAGGTGGCTCTGTGCGGGGGACTCACACTGGAATTTCTCCTTGACCTCCGTCCCGCACAGACATGCAATGCCCGTCTTGAAGGAGAGGGCCCTCATCTTCCCGCTGCGGCCGCTGCAAGGCGAGATACAGCACAGGGGTGGTTTTATTTGGTGGGGGGTCAGCAAGGCAAGCTGGCACCAGCCACCTCATCCCGAGCGGCCGGGGCGCCGAGGTTTTCCCCCCCGAGCACAGCACCACGGGGCCTGGTACCTGTCGAAGACGTTGAGCAGCCAGTTGAGGCTCATGTCGACGCAGAGCGGCACGTTGACCAGGATGCCCCGCTCCTCCTCCAGCCGCTCGTACAGGGCGGTCAGGCAGTGGATCACCTCCACCACGTCCATCGCCCGGTCGCTGGGCTGCAGGTCGTGCTCGTTGAAGATCTCCAGGGCCGTGGCCAGGGTCACCATGTCCACTGGGAGGAAAGCAGATACCTGCACGCGGCTCCGCAGCATCCCTCCCTAGCCCTGAAGCTGGGTTTTCAGCTCCCCTTTGTCTCTGTAAGCACTGGATCCCCTCCTGCCCCCGCCAACCCGCCTGCTTTCTGCTCTGGGTCACTGTCACAGCTCCTCCAGCCTCCCCCGTTGCTGCCGGGTGAGCTCCTGGCTGCTCCCGAGGTTTGTAATTCTGCTTTGTCCCTTTGCTCTCTGACTGGCTTTGACTCACAGCTGCCCTGCAGCAGTTCCACCCTAACCCAGAGGCAGTGAATTTGCTGCTTTTCAGCCAGGGGCTCAGCGCTTCCCCGGTGGGCTCCTGCCTCTGATGTGCTGATGAAAGGCTGTGCTCACTTAATGCCTCTACCCAGGGAGCCCCAGCGGGAGGGCCGTGCTTCCAACACTCACATCTCAGGGCTTTCTGCACCCGCCGCAGCTTCATCGCCGTCCTGTACGCCGAGAACTTGATGTTGTTCAAATCCGCTGCAATAACAGAACGAGAAGAAAACCGCAGCTGAACGCCCTTATCTGCAGGGCAGGAAGCAGCTGCTGCCCCCAGCTGGGGTTTGGACCCTTTGGGGGGAAAGCACAGAGAGGCCCCTTTTGGGGCTGGGGGCATCTCACGCTGCACCCCAAAAAAAAGAGGTTTTGTGGCAGCCTCCTCACCCAGCGTCTGGTACAGCTCCGTCATCTTGGGGTGGTCCCAGCACGTTGTCTGGGCCTGGTGGCTGGGAGGAGGGAAGGAAACCTGGCGTCAGGCTGGGAAATCCCTTCCAGCCCCGTGCCCGCCGTCGGGCAGGCCCGAGCCCCATCCGTGCGGGGCAGCACACTCACTTGATGTAGTAGGGCACTTTGTTGGGGGAGATGGCTCGCTCCCAGGGCACCTGGACCGAGGCTGCGAGGAGAGGAGCAGAGGTCAGAAGCCCCCGGTGGCCCTCAGCAATTTTCCCTCGCCACGGGCAGCTGGAAATGCTTCCACTGCTCTCAGGTGGAGGAGCAGGGCTGCAGGGACACCGGGACCAACAAACCCTACACCTGGGGCACTGCCTTTCCCTGCCTTGCCCACCCTGTCCCCGAGGCTGGCACTGTCCCAGGGCCACCCGGCTGCTGCTGCAAGCATCGCAGCTGCAGTCCCTGAGCATCGTGCACCACCACGGGCACTGCCCCAGCTTGTGGGAGGGCAGGCGGCCCCCAGGCAGTGCCAACGGGGGCACCCGTCACGTACAGGAGAGGAAGTGCTGCGAGCCCGGCCCGAAGTCCCGGTGGGCATCCTGGAGCTGCTTCAGGCGTTCATTGATGGAGGCCTGCAGGAGGGGACAGCAGAACGCAGTGGCAGCATTTCCATCGAGCATTTCGGATCACAGCCCCCTTCAGGAAGGCCTGTGGATGGACTCAGAGATGCCCCAGCCACCCAGGTCCGCTCCCTCCCTTGGATTTGCATTGCCCAGACAGCTCCTGCCTGGCCAAGCCTTAATAAATCATCCCCGAGGTTCAGCTCTTCCCCTTCACCCCCTTCCCTGCGGGGTGTTGGCAGGGCCCCGACCCTTCCCCACCTGCAGCTGCTTCCAGCGCGTGTTGATGTGCTCCAGGGTGCGGGAGTTCTCCATGGAGAGGTGGACGTCCGAGATGGCGAGCTGGTGTGCCAGGTCATTGACCACTTTCACCCCGTCCTTCATGGGAGACAGCTCGTCCTTGAAGAGCTGCAGCCCCGTGCCCAGGGGAGCAGGCACAGGGCAGGGGGAGGAGGAGAAGGAACAAGAAAGGTGTCGGTGCCCAGCTGCGATCCCTCTGCTACAGTTTGGGGTGGGCTGTGCCCGTCCCCGAAGCTGGGAGCCACAAGTACCTTGGTGGACTGGATGTGCTCTGGCAAGGAGTCGATGAAGAGGTCCCCGATGGGCTCCCAGGTCTCACGCACGCTTTCAGCCTGGTCCAGCGTGGTGCTGAGCTCCTCCATGGCCCCTTTGATCTCCAGCAGCTGCTCCAGCGTCCGCTCGATGTGCCGGTGCTGGTCCACGCAGCGGGCCGTCAGCTTCTCCCACAGCTCGCTGGCCACGTTCGCCTGCTTCCAGACGAAGCGGCTGATGTTCTGGATGCGGTGCCGGGGAGAGACATCTGCGGAGGCAAAGCAAAGAGCAGAAATGGGAGCCTGGGGCAGAAGCACAGCTCTGCGCCGATCCCGTCTTCTTCCCAAGGGCTGGGCACAACCCGGTGTGTTATGGCAAGAGGCCGAGCACTGCTGGGCCACACCAGCCGCCTGCTCCATCCCCCTCCTAACCAACCCAGGAGGAGCCATGGGAGGACGAGGAAGGGGGAATTGGAGGGGGAACTCAACAGACCTTTGCTTTCTGAACTTGGCTCTTCCAGTTCCTCAAACGGATGCTGGGAAAGGAAAGCCTGTGCTGACTCCAGGACAGAGTAAATATACGGCCCCCGGGACTTCACTTCTTCCATGAAAGCCTGGAGAGGAGAGCAGAGCACAGAGAGGAGACGACAGGCTGGGCTGGAGAATTACGTCCTGCTGCCCTTTCGCCGAGGGCTGCCGTGATTTACTCATCCAGTGCCCAAACGAACCACCCACGGTGACATCAGGGAAACGCTGCCAGAGGAAAGTACCCAGCCCTCGCTGGAAACGCAGAGAGGAGTTAACAGAGAAACATTTCTGCAGTGCAGGGGGAACGAGGAGGGGAGCAGCAGGGTGCCCCAAAGCCCATTCACAGCCAGTTGGGGTTGGGTTTGGGGTTGGGGTGTCCTCTCCTGCTCCACCAGCTGCAGTTTCTGTGGTGCTGCCTGCTGGGTCAGCGATTTCTGCTCCGGGAAGCGGCTGGTGCCAGTGAGGATGAGGGACAGCAACCGTGAGCAGGGCACAGGGGAACGAGGGGAACGTACCGCGTGCGTCTCCTTCTCCTGCTGCACCAGCAGCACGTCCCCGCGCAGGGGCAGCTGCGCCGACAGCTCCTCATCCTTCTGCCCCAGCCAGTCGATGATCTCCTGCAGGGGCACCTGCAGCTTCCCGCTGTGGTCGGAGAAGGCCTCCAGCCGAGCCCTGGCACGAGAGCGGGGACAGCACAGGGGTGCTCAGGGGGAACCAGGGGAACCTGCAGCCATCCCAGATGCAGGCAGGGAGGTGCCAGGCAGAGGGAGTGCCACAAACACCCCGAAGCTCGCAGCCAGCAGCAGGGATGGAGCCGCTCTGCGTGCACCCAGGTCAGTCTGGGCTGTGCTCTGGGTAGCACGGGGGGCTTGGCTCCGTGGCTGGGCGGCTTCCAGCAGCCAGCGTTGAGGCAAGAGACAATTAACATGCCCCAGTTAAGCTCTCTGTCATGCTGCCACTGCTGCAGCTGCGACCTCTGAGGGTCTGGAGAGCCCATTCCTCTGCTCAGCTGGAGAGGGCTCCCAGCAAAAGGGCAAGCACGGAGGTGAGGGGAAAAGAGGCGAGACATGGAGGTGGCAGCGGGGAGGATGGAGAAGGCAGCAGTGAGCAGGGATGAGGATGGGAGGGGGAGAAGGAAGGGAGGGGTGGGCATAGGGAGGATGCAGTGCATGGAGAAGGCTCAGAAGTCCGTGCAGAAGAGGAGAGACAAAGCCAGGGTCGCTGTGGGTAAGGCAGGGACGAGCTCAGCCACCTCCAACAAGCATGCGCGGCCCACCAGGCTGGCAGGCCAGGAGCTTGCCCCGGGCAGGGACTCTTACCGAAGGCTGTGGGATTTCTTTTTGATCTCGTTCCAACAAAGATTCATCTCCAGGGGGTTCTGGGGCCCAGCAACACTGCTGGGAGCCCGGGGGCTTACACACGAAGGTCCCGCACCATCCTGAGAGCCTTTAACCTGGGCAGAAACAGACAGAGCTGAAATGCTGTGCCCAGCTGCACCATCCCCTCTGCCATCACCGAGCCAGGGGGCACCCATCCCCTCTGCCATCACCATCCCTGACTTTTCAGCTCTCTGGGTGCTGCACCGCTGTGCAGGGGGCTGCTGGCTGCTCCGAGGAGCTCATGGCCATGGCTGGAGAAGGGGCACAGTGCCGGCTACGGCAGCACTGTGAATAAAGGTGGCATTTCCATGCCTTGAAAAGAGGTGGGCGCAGCAGGCTCCACCATTCCTAGTGACCAAGGGGACCTGCCAGCCTCTGCTACGCCACCCGCAGCTCTGTGGCTGCCACCTGCTCCCCTGCAGAAACACCAGGCTATATTCTCTGCCTGCACCACGGATCTGAGCTGATCCCCGCAGATGCTGCTTCTCCTCCGCACCTCCCCGGAACCAGCAGTGGCACGAAGGATGCTCTGAAGGGCTGGGGAGCAGCCGGCAGCCAAACCTGAGCCGGTCCCTGTGCAGTGTGAGCACCTCCAGCCCTGCCCTGCCCAGCCAGCAGCTGAGCCAGACACCCCCAGGTGCCTGGAAAAATGCGTGCTAATTACTGAGCAATGAACCCTTGGTGGGTGGGGAATCCTGTCCTAAGCCTCTTGCGCTGCATCGCGCTTGTTCCCCCTTGCAGAGGCAGTGAAGGCACGGTGCTTGCCGGCCTCACCAACACACTGGCAGGGCTGAGAGCATCGCACACAGGACTTGGGGATCTCCTCTCCAGCAGAGCAGCCCGGTGCACCAAGCACAAACACATCGTAATGCCAAGTGGGATGCGCTCTGCTGAGGAACAGGCAGTGTTTCACTCTAATGCTGCTTTGATATTAGAGCTCATTTGGGGTAATTATCCCCAGGTGATTAATCAACCGTAATTAACTGCATTAGCACTTTCTAAACAGTACATGCAACAGGCAGCCTTTGCCGGGGAAGGGAAGGAGCAGACGCAGCTCGCTGCCTGCCCACGGGCTGCCCAAGCACCCCAGGACAGGCGCAGGGAAGCAGCAGGCAGGAGGAAACCAGACCCAGAATTTGGCCGTGCAAGTGGAACGATGCCCACCCCGTGCTGGCTCCCAGGGAGGAGTCAAACGCTCAGCGAGTGCTGCTAAGCCTTCTTCATCTAAAAACATCTAACGGCAGGCTGTTCGCTGCCCCCCACACACCCTGCCGCTCCAGGAGCATCAGGAAAACAGAGAAAACCATCGCCCACAGAGTTCACAGGAATCTCGGGGCCATGAATAATGAATCACTCAAGCTAAAACTGCTGCTCGCACTTAGGAGAAAATAAATAAAACCCCACAGTCTGCGTGTGCAGCTCCTCATGCCACCCAAGTAGGTTAGCCCCACAGCACTGCCAAGGAGCGCCCGGCTCCCTGCTCCGTGCCTGGGGGTGCCAAGGAGAGGATTGAGCTCAGCACAGAACAGCCTTCCCAGCCCAGTTTAAGATGATGCTAAAAGCCCACAACCCATGGACTATCACCTGCCCATGAGCCAGGGATGGTGGCCAAGCACGGGCCAGGCATTAAACACCTGCCCCGCTGCGAGCAAGCAGGGAGCAAGAGCAGCACCGTCCCCCCGAGCATCCCCTGCCCATCCCGTCCCCAGGGCTGCAGCGGTGGCAGCCTGGATCCGACCCCCTCCACCCTCAGCAGGTTTATTTTCGGGCCCAGGACACTCACGCGGGCTCCTTTCCACCTGTCCTCGGTGCAGCAGGGCTGCTCGGAGCAGCCGGTGGAGCGGGCATCGCCTCCTGCCCGCTGTGCAGCACCGGCCGGCAGGCAGCAAGCGCTGCTGTGAGCAGGGCTCGGGGCTGGCCCCGGCACTGACCCCCCAGGAATCTGCAGGGGGGCGGCCGTGCCTCCTCCCGGCCTCAATCCCAGCTTTGTCCTGCGGCATTCCTGCGGCCTCCAACCTGCCTTAACCCCGGGGGTGCCGCTGCTGCGGAGCCCCTCGCCCTCGGGTGCCCTGCAGGGTGGGCTCTCAGGGATGGGCTTTACCCAGAGACTGGTCCCAGCAAGCTTTGGCTACCCTAAAGGTAAACCTGCCCTTGAGACGTGACCCCAAGGAGCCCACGGTGCCCTCCTCGCCCCATCCCAGCCCTTGGTGCCAGCACGGCTTCTCCTGCCCGTCCAGACTGGGTGCAAAGAGTTTGTTTTTGCCAGCAGGCTCCGGGCTGGCTCCCCGTGTCCCCCACAGCGCTGCCGGCCAGCATTGTTCCCATGCTCTCCTCCACCTACGGGAGGGAATGAAAAGCTCCCTGTCTCCCTGCCTCTCCCTCCCTGCACATCTGACCGCTGGTGTCCCCGGGGCCGGCAGCTCCAGCCTCCCCTCCCACCACCCCATCCCCTCCACGTCCCCAGCCCCCAGCCCCAAGGGGTGCAGAGCCTTCCCCTCTCCGCCCCGTGTAGGTGAGCAGCCTGTGCAGAAACACCCAGGGAAAAGGGGGGGGAACCGATAGGTGAGCACCCTCCGTTCCTCGAGCAAACCAGCCCAGAAGGAGGCCAGGCTCCTCTGCCTTGCAGCATCTCAGCCTTGGCTTTCACCGAGGCCTTCCTTCTGAGCTCTGCTCCACAACCAGAAAGATGAGCCGCAAACCTTTCAGCAAAAGCTGACATTCCTCCACATTTCCAGGAAAAAGCAAACCCGAGCAGATAAGCCAGAGCTGCGGGCGGCAGCCTCGTGTTCTTTATCCTGCAACCCAGCTCTGCGGGTTGCCTGCCGTGCTCTACTTCGGGAAACGCTTTGCAGCCAGAGCGCTGGAGGAGAGCTAACGTCCTCATTAAGCGCCAGACAACGGGGTGCTGAGGCTAAGAGCTTTCCCCCAGCAGGAGCCGAGGTCCCAGCGTGCTCCCCAGCCCCGCACAGCCGCAGGAGGAGGGCAGCCAGAGCAGACCTTACCTGAGGCAGCGGGTGGGCAGCGCCGCTGTGCCGCGCCGGGGCCGCGCCGTGCCACTCAGGACATGGTGGGAGGACGTAAGGCCATTCCTGCATCACCAGGGGCTGCATCAGAGCCGATGCTCATGGGGATGGAGACGGCCTCGGGCGCCAGCACCTGGAAGGCAGCGGGAGAGGTTTGGGGTCAGCACCTCCCCATCCTCAGCACGCACCCCCGGAGGCTACATGCGGTTCTTTGCACCGATGCTGCCGTCTCTTTTCATGCAAGTCCAACACTTTTTTGCATCAGTTATACAATTTGCTGTAACAATGTCCCGTGTGTGTGTGTCCCACAGCTGCGCCTTAGGGCTGGGTTTCCTGCAGGGCAGGGGATGCACCGAGTTTAAAAGCAGAGGGCAGAGAGCCTCTGCACTCCGGACACTGTCACAACCACTTCTGTTTGGACATAAAAAACCAAATCCCAACAACAGGCAATATCTTCCAACACAATATTTTTTCCTTTCATATTCAGAAACAAATTTTTCAAGCACCTCAGTCCCTCACACACGCATCTCATATAGCCAGCTACCTTTCTATGTGTTCTTCCTCGTTATGAATTACAAAAGTCCCATTTTTATTCAGTTTTAAAAACCGTAAGACCCAGAAAACCAGTGAGCAGTGTCCCCTTCGTCTGTTCCACAGACCTCAGTAAAACCCCCGGTCATCTGGCTGGTTTCTTTTTTTGCTGTTTGGAGTCTGAGCCAAAACAGTGATTTTTCCCATCGCCAGCACCAATTCCAATTTACACAGAGCCACGAGAAAACAAAGCCCAGAGGTAAAGGTGCATGGCAATGATTTACCAGAACCAAGCGATTTCCCACCACGGAAGCACGATCCCAGAGCTCTATGTGCCCGCAGAGGAGCCGGGCACAAGCACGCTCTGCTTCCACACCCCTCGCTCCCTCGCCCGAGCTTCCACTGCCTTCCCTCCTCCATGGCACACGCTAAGAGAACAGCTTACCCTGTTATGATTTTGTTAATCCCTGAGCAATTTCTACCGCCGTAATGCTCTCTGTCTCCGGCAGAACAGCCTGTGCTGAGCTCTCCAATACGCCGATAATCCAGGGCCCTGCGCTCTCCCCTTCCTGCCACCTGCAGAGATGAGCATCGCGGACCGTGCACCGCGGCACCCTCTGCTCCTGTCCCAGGGCTGGCAGGGTTATCACGGCACAGCAGCGCTTACAAATTGCAGGGTCCACAGAGACCCCCTTATGCAACGCCAAGGGTGTGGGGGATGATTTCTGCCTTCGACAGGAGGGAATATATCCTATTACCCCAATGCTTGTGCTCTTGGTGGGCCTTTCTGCATTCTGCTCAGGGAAAAGTCTCCGTGCACAGGGTTGGTGCAGTTCTGGAGAAGGGAAACCTTGTCCTACAGGTGCCCATGTGTAGGGCAGGTGGCTCTCACCAGAAGAAGAAAAGTCCTTTTGGCACCTCCAGGTGCTGGGCCTGACCTCCTTCAGCAAAGACAAGGTTCTTGAGGACACAGAACCATGGCGCAAGGGAAAGGAGCCCGTCCAAGGCAGCAAAACCCAGATGCGGAGAGCCCGAGATAATCTGGAAATAGCTCAGCTGTACAGCAGCCAGCACAAAGGCAGGCATTCAAGGGGAGAGACGACCAGACGGTGAGGCTCGGCTGCGAGCAAACCAACATATGATCACTTTGCCAAATCCCCAGCGATTACAGGAGAGGGAGAAATGCTCCTGCTCTGCTGCTTTGCTGTGGTACACAGTAACTCCAGCTCTCGCACTTGTGGCGTAGCGGTGCCGCCAGGCACCGTCGGGCACTGCAGCACGGGCAGCAGGTTGTACGGATGCTTCTGGGCTAAATGCTTGCTGCTGGTGCTTCCCTAGCTCCGGGGCTGTGACCCCCCTCACCTCTCCCCCACCAGCATTCACCTCGGGCGTGCTACAGCCAAGCAACACGATCAGTCACAGAAATGTTGGCAGCTGAGCCAGCCTGGCTCAAAATGCATGTGGAACAAATGCAGGCATGCAGAGGGGAGGCAGAGGGCACGGCACAGGAGGGGTGTCACTAAAGGCACTGCTGCCACGGGGTGAGAGGCAGAAGCCTCTCCCAGGAGCTGGAGCAGGGCTGGGATGCAAGAACTGAGCTGCAGTCCGTGCGGGATGGCTGGTGCCACTCTGTGGGAGCACGAGGGGATGGTAAGGAGCCTGGAGCTGCCCCATCCCACGTCAGCCCTGGGGCACTGCAAAAGCATCCCAGGGGCTCCCGGGGGCTGTGGCCAGCTCTGGGCCTTCCCACCAGCTGGAGGGAGGCCCCAGGACGTGATGCTCACCCTACAACAGCCCCTTATCAGTGCCCATACCCGCCTGCTGCAAGAAGCGGCCCCACAGCTCCAGAGCTGCAGTTCCCACAGCCCATTGCAAGCACCCGTTTGTAAAAGCATTGAGATGAAAAATGCTCCTCCTGGCCCTTGCAGCCCTCAGGAGCCATGTGGTCAGGCAGCCCAACCAGAACTAAAGCCAGGCTGACCCCCGGGAACATTTCTGTGCAAGAAGGGAAACATCAAGCCCCCTGCAAGCAGCAGCAGGTGAAAATTGCACGTGAAGACATCACGAGAAGCTGCCTGGTGGGGCACCAGGGCACTGCACCCTTCCATTTCAGGAGCAAGGAGTGAGACTGTGCCGGTGTGTCCCACACAGCCAAACCTGGTCTTGGCTGGAGGTACCCCCTCTGGGCACAAAGGTGATGGACCCTGAGGAGGATCGGGTGCAGCCTCCTTACACAAGGTTTTTTTTGCATCCTCCCCCATGAGAACTCCCAGCACTTGCCTCTGCTTTTGGTATGCATCTCACTGCGCTGAGTTACAGCCACCAAACACTTCAGGAACCAAGCCACAATGCTTTAGCCTAGCTTGAGACGGTGATGTTCCTCTAGGAAAAAGAAAAAGCCCCAAATCTCGATGCTACACTTCAACAGCTGAATGCAGCTGCGTTCGGGTCTATTCAAAGCAGAACTGCTGCCTTTTTCCTCTCCCTGGATGAGCTGTACCTGCTACAAAACCCGCACTGCTCTCCTGGGAAGGCAGCTGTGGCAGCCTTTGCCCAGCCTCACCCCAAGCAGCAGCGGAGCTGTCTGGCTGCTCCACAGCTCGTGCCCTGGGTCCTGCAGCAGCTCCTCTCCATCCCAGGCACCAGCAAACCCTCACACCTGCAGGCACCAGCATCCAACAGCTTTACTCGGCTGTTATTTAGAAACCCAGACCCAAACTCCCCCAGACGTCAGGGCTGTGCTCCTGCTGTCCCTTATCTCTGCAGGATAGGAGGCTGCCCTGGAAGCTGCAGTTCCATGCAGATGTTGGGTTCGCAGCTCCCTCCTGCACACAAAGACAGCAAGCAGGGCAGGAGGTCTCTCCATCACAAGGCTCACGCTTTGAATTGCTAATTTCCTCCCAGACATTCTTCCCGGGCTGAAACTTTCCACTTCATATCCTGGCCTATCAGGAAAAAATATGGCAACATTTTGAGGCAAGGCAGCTCAGCCTTTATCCCACGAGGGGGATGGAAATACAAACACACTCCCTGCTGCTGGAAATGTTAATGGCTTTGTTGTTGTTTAACTTACTGTACAAGAGAAGTAATAACATTTTAGCTCAGCATGCTCAGTGTCCTTTAAGGGGAAAGGTGGGAGGCTTGCGGATGTTTCAAAGTTCAGCTCCCATCCACACGCTGACAAAGGGAGCGTTCCCAAGCTGGCAGGCAGCAGGACTCCCTCGGTGGTGCAGCAGCACATCCTGTTCCAGCAAAAGTTGTTTTCTGCATCTGCGAGTAGATAGCTTACATCTGAGAGCTAGGGCCAGCAGACCGACTTCCCAAGACCCCACTAGGTCAAGCTTTGGTGAGAGAGAAGGAAGAGAAATCCTCGTCCCACTGGGACCGAGCTTAAGGACAACCCCTCTCCCTTCATCTCTCCGTACACACCAGGAGCAGATACCTGAACACGCTGCTTCAAGACCACCCCGCAGCCTCCTGATTCCCAAATTTCCTGGCACACAAGGAAAGGGCCAGCAGCAGTCTCCCATACAGGCAGACCCTGAAAGCGTTCTCAGTCCCAGGGCTCCAAACCCAGACCCCAAAGCTGCAGTTCAGCCTGGCGTTGCTGGTAGGACACCGCACTGACCCTCTGCCCCCGCAGCAGGACCCCACGGGGCTCCTCCACCTCACCACCAGGTCCCCTCCTTAATTACAGCAAAGGGCCCCTCAGTTAAGCAGCTCTTCTTAAGAAGTAGAAGGAAATCTCTGGTGTACCAGGTGGTGAGCACGTGGCACAGAAGAGACCTGATTCAGCAGGCGTGGGTGAAGCGGGCGCTCTCCCACCTCACAAGCCGTGTGCTGAAATGACCGCTCAGATTTTGCACCCACAACCAACACGTTCTTTAAGTTCAGGGGATAAGCAGGTGACACAGGTCCTAATAAATCAGCGGGGTCTCTTCTGCTGGCTCGCTCCCTCTCCATTTTCCCCAGCAGAATACACGTGCACACTCACAAAGGCTCAGGCTGGAAAATGTCCCCAGTTACATTCCTCAAACAGGGGATCAGGACCCCGATGTCCCCGGCCAACGAGGTGAGCGTGGGTGCATGCCCACAGCACGGCCACGCAGAACTGGCTGTTCCTCTGTGTAAAAACAACTCGTGGCAATTCAGGAAGACTGAAATCTGAATTTCTGTCACATGCCCTTCCCGGCTCGCAGCTGGGTTTTGAGCTGCTCTCTCCAAAACTCGCTTTGCTGAGGAATTCTTCCCGTCTCTCCTCCTCCTCTTCCTCCAATTAGGCAGCACTACATGCGATTGCCCTTGCACCTTGAAAGCCAGCTGTAGGCACGCAGCCCCGCTGTGCTGGACACAGAAGTTGCTGTCTGACTGACCTGACAGACAAAAGGAGCGGGGGAAGAAGCCGGCATCGCCCCCACCCACAGAAGGGCCAGCAGGGGGTAATAACTTGCTTAATGGCCAAGAGAAGGTTGCAACAACCTTAAAAACCTAACCTAATTCTTCAGAGACTCGGTCATGCTCTGCAGCCTCGAATCCTGGCTATTTAAACCCACTGAAAACCCCGAGGCTTCTCTTTGTCTGCCTCTGACAACCCGAGCCTTCCCTTCCCCGCTGTCAGCGGAGGAACGAGCCTTGCTGCAGTGTGAAAAACGCACCCAGCAAAAACCCAGGCAAGGCTGTGCTAACTCTCAGCTTCCTTGCTGCTTTGTTTCTCATTCCCAGTGTTAGAAAACCACCTGAATACTCTGCCTCCACCCCACGGGCTGGTCCTTGTGAGCTCTCCAGCCGTCCGAGGCAAGGCATGGACCGAGTGCCATGAGTCCCTTTCCTTCCATCCCTTCCCCAGGATGGATCGGAGCTACCTCATTTTTATGCTAGGAGGAACATCGAGATGGAGCTATTTTGGCTCAACTCTGAAGAGCCCCGCTTGATCTCTATACACCTGTGAAAATGAGGTTTTTGGAAGAGTGAATTCGTCCTGCTGAGGATGTCTTAGCTCATGGGATTTGTAATTCCACTTTCATACGTTTATCACAGGCATCCAGCCTAAAGCAGAGGCCTTGAACATACTGCTCAAGACGGTATTATAATCACAAATTCACCGTATGTCTCAAGAAGGCAGGCCTTTTGTTTGAACCCATCCATTTAATCCCTTCACTATCTCACTTTGTTTAATTTTGAAAAGAGTCGCTCTGCCCTGAGCAACCCCACTTCCAGGCACAGCCCTGGACAATCACAGTGAGTGTGATATGTCTGTCTCAGGTGTTAATTAGAGAGGTTCTATCCTCATCTTAATTTTCACCTGGAATTATCATTTTTCTCCCATTCAGGAGTGCCATTACCTACTTGTCACCTTGCAGAGTGGGGAGCTGGCAGGTGGCAATGTGAGATGGACTCTAAATCAAAAACGCACATACACAACTGGCAAAAAAAGGAAACCCTCCTGCTGCAGCCAGACCTTGCAGCTGGGAGTTTGCGTGGTAGGGTGTTGTAGGGGACTCTGGTCAGGCAACAAAGACCACCAAAAAGAATAATCACACAACAGCTCTCATGGCTCCGGAGAGATGAGCAAGTAGCAGACGGCTCAGGGAGTACAAAGGACCTCGTATTAGGGCACAGATAAAACACGGACGCACGGAGATTTGGCTAGATCATTTTTTCAGTGATAAAAACCAAAATCCATCCGAGCCATCCCTTTGTCCCACGGCCAGCATGGGGCAGTGGCTTCACCCCCATGTGGCAGAACTCAGGCAATCCCAGCGCAGAGCCCCTGCGAGGGCAGTGCTGGTGATTTCACCACACACCGGTGGTGCCGTGCAGAAGGAGAAGCTCGAGGGACCGTGCTGGGCACCAGCAACAGCCTGCCGAGCCGAGCACTCACTTGTGGTCACCCTGCCCCTCGGGGAGCAGGATGCACGGTGCCCAGCCCCGGGGAGCCAGCAGCATCCTGCCAGCCCCGGGTGGCTCTGCCCACATCACCGGGGAGGTCAGGAGTGAAAACACAGGGCCTGGAGGGAGGAGGAGGAGGTGGAAGGGACTGGGGGGAAGCTGGGAGAGGGAGGGTTGAGACATAAAAGAAACAAGGCTGCACCGGGCAAGGCAGTGAACAAAAAGGACAGAGCTGGGACGAGAGCCTGATCGCAGCCTGCTGCTCGGAGACGTTCCCCACTCTGCCTTGCCCTGCAGCCAGAGCCTTGCAGGAGAAGGCTGGAAGGCCAGCACACACCCTGCGCCGAGCGGTCCTTCAGCCCAGCCGAAAACACTGCCAGGGTGAAGGAGCCTTCAGCATGAAAAGAACCAGGGCTCGTGGAAGGGATGCTTGCTGCTATTGTTTGCCTTGGGCATCCGCATCTCTTACCGCTCCCTGGTCTCTCCCCCATGCCAGCACCCTTGGCTGCCCTTCTCTCTGCCCATGTCCCCCTGCCACCCGTCTTTTCTTCTCGGCAAGTTTCCTCGCCCGCACGCACACGGACAGCACCGCTGTGCAGGGACACACACACACGCACTGGGGTGTATTTCCGAGGTTAGCCATCTGGATATTTCCCCCTTCCCAGCACGGCCGGGCAGCAAGCGGGAGGCAAATCCTGCCTTGGCCTACCTTCCGAGTGCGCCAGGTCTGAACCGCGGGCAGCAGCCGTGCGTCGGGAGCAGGGGCTGTGAATCAGCAGAGAGGTGCCAGTGCCAGGGATGCATGCTGAGGCTGAGCGCTGCGCCCGCCGCCTCGCCTCCTCCAGCGCCCCGCTGCTGTGTTGCTATGCGATCACATCCCCGGGAGGAGCAGCATCTCTGCCCGCAACAAGAGGTACCCCTGGCTCCGCACGCCGGGGGGGAACAAGGACGACCCCGAGACCCTTGGAGCTCCCTTGGCGATCGGCCCCAAGGAGAGGAGGGAGAGGAGTGGAGATGCAAAGGCAGACACGAGCGCGGGAGGAGGAGACAAAACACACATGGAGAGAGAAGGTGGGGGGGGAAGGAAAAAGGAGGGGGGGTGTATTTCCACTAGCACACAAAAGGAGCCGTGGGCTGACCTCCGGGGACCTGCCACGGGCTGCTGGGCTCGGACACGCTTCCCGACGCTTGCCGATGTCTCCCCGCCGCTTTTTGGGAGTGACAGCTCTCATTTTAGGTTACATACGGCCGTGTGTGTGTGTGCTGGAAAATGCCAGACACATTCACCTTGTTTCTTAACCGCAATTTGGATGTCTGGCGTAAGATTTAATAAGTTTAATTTTAAAATGGGCTATTTTTAAGTCAAGAAGCAAAAATAAGACAAGCACGTAAATTCAGATATGCTTCCTATTCTCCTTAGAAAAGAAAAATAAGTAAAGGAAGAGCCAGTTCTCCAAGCTGCAGAGAAAGCCTCATCCAAGATTTTTTAAATGTCAGGGTATTTTGTCTGAGACAGAAGGGTTTGGGCTGCTAACTTGGCTGAGGACATGAGCAAACCTGGAATTTGGATTTTAGTCCATACGTAACAAACAGTCTGTAATTCTTTGGATCTTCCCACCCAAAGATCCTGAACTCTGCTCAAGATGTCAGTGATGCTATGCCCACATTACACGAGCAGAAACAAGAGATCAGTAACTTGGTCATTCAGACCTGACCCTAGTCCCACGCTGTAGCTGCCAGAGTGTCTCAGCCTGTCCCTGAGAACATTTAAGCTCAGACAGCACTAAGGTCTGGTCCTTGTCAGAACAATCTCCAAGGAGCCTCAGCCTCTCTCCTTGCAGGGCTTTTGGTGGGCTGTGTGCAGATGAAGGTTGGTGAAGGAACGGCCACTGGCCTTAGCCGCCCACCTGCTGGGACATCAAGGTTACCTGTCAGTCCATCCGGGGGCCTGACTTTCTAACTAATCCCATGACACTGTTGGAAGGTGGATATGAATGGATATAAAGCTTTACCAGGTTACCAACTGCAATCTGGAGAGGTCAAAATACAGCTGATCTACGGCAAAATGCATTCAAGAGAGTCCTCAGGAAACCAGCACGATCCTCACAGTGGTTCCAGTGGGAGCCTCTGGCACGGGGGTGGCCGACTCTGCAGAGCTCCCATCCAGGTGAGCCCCGGGTCAGGCACACAGCGAGGCGAGGTGCACAGACACCTCATGTAGCTACACGGAGCAGAGGAGTATTTTTAAGTAGCATCTTTCCTGTAGCTGGTTCCAAAAGGAGCAACACGGCATCCTTCAAGTACCAACCTGAGAATGGGTACGCACTCCACACCTCCTGCTTTCAAAAGCCTTTTCAATAGCTTCCACTTCCACAACAGCCACAGTGATGCAACACAACTTGTTCTGAAAAGCTGTATTTAGACCCAAAGAAATAGACACGGATAGGAAAGCGGAATAGAACTGTCTCTCTACCGGGCTATTTTTGTGCACACACACACAAATAACTCCTGGGTTAACTAAGGAGACCGAGGGGAAGGAGAGAGCAGAGTGCCTGAAGGGCTGCCCAGGCAGCCGGAGCACACCGCCCTGCAGAGCCGCGACCGACCCAAACCACAGAGTGTCCGTCACCGACACGGTGAGGAACGTGACAGCTCGGATAAACACAGTGAGCACGCATCAGGCCGAGGTACACATGCACACGAGACAGGCGTCAGCACGGAGACACGAACAGACAGCTGGAGCCACGCAAATAAGGTACTTTGCAGTACACGCATCCTAAATTATTGATAGTTTAGGGACGGCAAAATGCAGCGGGAGGAAATCTCTTGTGTCAGTTTAACTTAAATTTTGAGACAAAGCAGGATCTCTGGTGAAAGACTTGCTTCTATGGCTGGGAGCATCATCCTAGGTCCCCCAAGTACCTTGTGCTTTAAGGACATAATTAGGACAAACAGCCCAGCAATTCAGAACTCAAAGGGAATCAAGGAGACAAACTCTGATTTGCCATAAGCCCAGCCTTTCATATCAGCATCACAACTGTGTGGAGTATATGGGAAAAAATATTAGAAGAAACGCTCAATTTGATGTGCTTTAAGTTCTGCAGATAACCTCCAAAAAAATCTCTCAAGGAACTCCAAGAACCCAGCTTCCAGAAGACACGTTGGTACCTACCACACGCCTTTCCCCAAGAGAATATTTCAGACATTCATGTCCTACTAAATGGCAAAGATGTACCTTGCTAGCAAAATTAGGCACCTCCACCTCTCTGAAGGGATGTGCACAATCCTAAATAAAACATACAAACATACAATAGATAAAATTGAGGTGGATTTTATAAGACACAAGCACAAAAGTGAAATCGGATTCTGATTTATACCAGTAACACTCCATTTAAAACATTGAAGTGTAAATCAGTTTAAATCAGTGAAACAGATTCTGATTTACACTTGTGAAATTGGAATCAGCCACACGGGCTAAATATACAAAGCCACAAAATACCGAACGCCCTGAATACAAATGCATTTGCTGAAAATGACTGGTGAAAATTGAGCTCTATGGAGATCTATTAAAACTACTTTTAGTTTGAATTTTTTTTAAAGCTAGAAATAAGAGCTGTGTCTGGTGTGACCCCAAAGCTTTTACTACTAGCTCTTTATTCGAAATCAATATTAATTTGGCTGAATTACTCGGAAGATGGAACTTCCCTAACACTAAGTACCGTGTGTTACGAACCAATCAAAACATTAACCGAAGTTCTAGCATCTGCTTTTTCATCAGGGTACTTCAGATGCTGATATAGTTCAAGGTTATTATTTTCACTGTTTTGCTTCCCATAACCCTCACCTGTTAAATACCTCTTCTAAAATGTCCCTCATCTCAGAATTGCTTCCTGAAACGTGTGCTCACTCACTGTCCTCAAACTCTGTGTCTTTCTTCCTCTGAAATCTCATATCTCCTGAAAGAAGAGGAACATTTTCTCTCTTGTATAGAAGAAGAAATGCTGTTACCATCCTCTGTAAGCTTTTTTATTATTATTTCCCCACGTAAAACTCGGAATTTCTTTCCACTCAAAATTTTTATTGTATGGATTAGACAAAGTTCCTTCAAAATAATCCTTCTTCCCACTAAGAGCAATATCCTCAGAACAGATGTCTGTTCCTACGCCCATGTTTCCATAGTAGTTACAAGTATTTTCCCTTTGTTTTATTACTACTGAAATCTAAGACCCTCTTCAAAATTCACGTATTCTTCTTTGGCTCCCACCTACCTTAATGAAAGACCAGGCTGGGGATCAGAAGCCAACTGAGTTTGTGGCTCTGCCATTGGGCTGCTGAGTCAGCTAGGACAGATCACAAAACCTCCTCCCTGCCTCCTGATCTGTGAGCTGGGACTAACTTTTGTAAGCAGCATTTCCCGTGTGCTCCGGGATCTATTGACGAAAGCACTGTGCAAGAGCTAGGTACCGCTGCTTCAAGAATTTATTCATTCAGCTAACCTGAAACTGTTCCTCAGATATGCCAGCTCACCCAGATAACCCATTTATTTAAGCCAAACATATGCTACACAGCCGAGGAAGCACCTGTTACACCAAGTGGTCTAGAGAGGTCTAGAAGCCATCCAGGTGAGTGATGCTGATTCAGATTGCCTACAGAGAAATGGGCTGATTTGGAGTATTAGAGTGACAGAGAAGTTTGGGATCATGATTTATCCCGATTAAAGTATTTTGGAGAACGATGCTTTATCTAGGAACCTATAGAGTGGATCGCGTAAGGAAGATTACAATTCACTGGCGAGGAATAAATTCTCCGAAATCCCTCATAAAGAGCAGTACTTAAACACAGAGAATAGTGAAACAAGGCTGCGGGAAGCACAATGCCGCAGCAGCAAGGAAGACAGCAGATTAGAGCACGTTTGTACGCCTGTGTTCAACCCATCTCTGCCTTTCACAAAGCACAGGGAATTTTTTCAAGTTACCTCTGAGAAGGCACCCGCGTGATATTTTGTGTGGAGAGGCAGACGGTGCAGCCCGATGGGGCTTAATTCCCAACCTAGGGCTGGAGAAGCTGTTGGGCCAAACACTGACAACGTATTTGTGGATCCTGCTGCTGAAGAAGGGTTTGGTGAAAGGCTCGAGAGCGGGGAAAACATCCCTGATGGCTCCAAGAAATCCTGTCTCCTCCCAAGAGCCTACAGCCCTGCTTTCCTGAGACGCAGGGCTCCCTCATCTGGGTCTCCGCTTAATTGAAACAACAGATGAGGCTGAATTTTGCCACAGCCATACATTTCCAAACAGTAAGGTGCGTTTGATGCAGGATCGTTGATCAGAGTGGTTGTGCTGCGCCTACCTGCAGAGCGAGAGCCAGGAGGAACAGATCCCGCACAAAGGGACGGAGCTGCCTGTCAATTCCGGCACATTACACAGCCAAGCATACTTGGGAGTAGAGCACAAAGAGCCTTTTTTCAATAAAACTAGAACCAGGGGCCCTAAATTCGGCTTGAGACGAAGCTAAGAACGATTACCCAGCCATCATACCGCATTGTTCCTTCGTCTGTTTAAATAACCCATGTCAAGTAAATAACTGCCTCCTTCGCTAGCATCAATGAGCAGAGAAATCTTCCAAGCACAGACTCTACGCTGCCTAAAGTGTTTAGAAAAACAGCAGGGTAGTTTCTAAAAGCATGACACCTGGGGTGAGGAGGAAGAATAGGGAGGGAACTGATACAGGCAGGCAGCTGCCGTGCACTCAGAACGAATCCCCCTTCTTGCTTGTTCCTGCAACGGGGCCCGAGACAGTCCTGCCCCAAGGAGAAAGGTCACAGGGGGAGAGGAAAGCTTTCCAGAGCATGAGCACCGAAAGGATGAGCTGGTGGGTGTCAAAAAGAGAGTAGAAGAACTTGAGGGAAGGATGAAGAGGCAAAGGAAAGAGACAAAGGAGAAAATGAGAGAAAAAAAATGCAAAAAACATGAAGGAGAGAGAGGGAAGGCAGACAAGCAGTTTTCAGGGGCTTTTTTGTTCTTCAAAGGCTGTCAACACGTTTACGCCTAT